TTTCCAGGGCTAAAAAGTAGTCTTATACGCCAGAAAATAAGGTAATCAGAAGTAACTTGTTAACTGTTCATGTGACTTTTGCTTTAAGGGGGTGCAAATTAAAAGTTATTTACTTGTCAATGTGCTTAGGTCCTAGAAAATGAGTTGTAAGTATGAACAACCTGCTTATATTTTGCCACAGATCGTGTTAAATTTAAGATAAATGATGAAGGAATGCACCAAAGTTACACAGGATGTGGGATTTCTTCATTTATCTCTATTTTGAATGAACTGGCTTTTCTTTTGAAGGTCTTCCAAATCTGAGCAGCAGAACAAATGACACTGAGGCAATTGTAAAACTGACACTTGGTACACCGAGTATGTCTGAGAAAACATAACTCTTTCCAGATTTATTTGTTGCTGTCCTTGCCAAGGGTTATAAAAGAAGGAAGGGAAATGTGCTGTTCAGGCATTATGTAACCAGACAGGAAGCAAAGTTAATACTTTCAGAGAACCTGAACAGAAAATCCATGCTTGTCTGGAACCTTTAAAGTTACTTTAAAGTAAGCAATACAAAACTGGAATATGCCCTAACTGAACATATGCAGAATTTAGCTTCATCTGGCTCTTTTCAGGGCATATTCTTGAAACTGGTTTTCACTGGTAAAACTCAGTTCTGAGCTTGAAGAAAGCTAAGTGCCTCTGAGTATATGCAACGCTCTCTCACTCTTTCACACATGCACACACACAGAGGAACAAGTTGATCAATTATGTGGCCTAAGCCTGCATCTTTTTTGTGTTTCAGTTGTTTAAATAACGTTGCTGTACAAATACTGCTAAAAGGAATATCAAGTAACATTAGTAAGCTCATGCACATCATTACAGCCTCATTACTGCTAAAAGGAATATCAAGTAACATTAGTAAGCTCATGCACATTACATATTGTATGGGGCTTCCTATATTCCAGGGGTAGGCAACCTAAGGCGCGGGGGCCGGATGTGGCCCCCCCGAGGCCTTTGGACCGGCCCCAAGCCAGTCCTGCCACCCGCCGCTGCCAGCCATGATGATATTGATTATTGTTGTTATTACTTGTTCTTGGGGTTTTCTTGGCAAAATCTCCATAGGGGTTTTGCCATGGGTTTTCTGGGGCTGAGAGAGTGTGCATGAATATTTATTTATTTATTTGTTTTTGGTGCTTCGGCCCCCCAATTGTCTGAGGGACAGCAACCCGGCCCCCGGCTCAAAAAGGTTGCCTACCCCTGCTATATTCAGTGATTCTGATAATCATCACACTTCTAAACTCTGCAATACACAGCTGCTTGAATGCAACCATGAAAATCACAGTGAATATACTGAAAAGACAATGAGTTTTCTTTACCTAGAAACAACTATGAGCTCTTCACTGTTAGCTGTTATCTCTTTTCCCACATAATTCTGATCTGCCTGCTCCAGTCTAGCGCTCTCCAAAGTTGCTGGCCTACATTCCCATAATCCCTGGCAGCACAGATAACTGGTATGAATATGATTTTTAAGAGCAATGAGAGTTGCAAATCCAACAATCCCAGAGAGCACTAAGGAGATCTAAGCTATTCCTTATCCAACCCATCTTACTACTTTGCAAAAATAAAACTAAAAATATTGTTTTGGTTTTTTTTTTTTTTAAAAAAACCCTCAGTACTGGAGGAGTGAAAAGATTATACAACTTATAATATAACAATAAAGTTAAAAATTGAACACCCCCCAAAAGATTAACTGATCACATGATCAATTAATAATTAAACACCCTTTGAATTAAAAAATGTCTAGTGAAAGGAGAGCGAGAGGAGGACAGCCTAGCCTCCTGTGGAAGGGAGTTCCACAGCTTAGGAACAGTCATTGGGAAGGATCTCTTCCATGTCCTCTTTAGATGGTTCTGTGATGGTGATGGGAACAAAAGAAAGCCCTTCTCTGATTATCTTAAAAGACTCTGGCAGGTTCACATAAGGAGATATGTTCTTTCAGAAGGTCTGGGCCTACATTGTATAGAGATTTATAGGTCATAACCAGCACTTGGAGTTGTGTCTCGAAATGACAGTGGAAGTACTTTAATAAGGAAGTTATATGTTTCCTGTAACTAACCCCATTTAGTACCCCAGATGCAGCACCTTGGACCTGCTGAAGTTTCCAAACAATTTCCAAAGGCAGCTCCACATACAGTATATTACAGTAGTCCAGGTATGTATCTCTGTAGCCAGATATGACTTCTCTGGCAACAGGCATTGTCTTGTTTTTCAGTCCATCTGTTCTACGTCAGAAACAAAAATTAAAAGTATAGCAATGAAGAAATTGTGTATACATGCATGTGAATGTATGGAATACTACACCATTCTGAAAAGATGGGGATTTAAAATTATTTTTATTTAGCTGACAAGGTTTTTATATTAGTTGTGTTGTTGCTGTGTGCTTTCAAGTAGTTTCTGATTTATGGAGACCTTAGGGAGGGACCTTATCATGGCATTTTCTTAGCAAGATTTGTTCAGGGATTTTGTCTTTGCCTTTGCCTTCCTCTGAGGCTGAGAGGGTGTGACTTGCCCAAGTTCACCTAGTGGGATTTTGTGCTCAAGAAGGGAAATGAACCCTGATCTCTAAAGTCACAGTCCAATGCTTAAACCACTATGCCATACTGGCTCTCATGTTTTTTATATACCACCTTTAAAAATATTTACCTAAATATTGACACCATACTTTAAAACAAACCAATAAACTGATTAAAAAGAAGTTACTTGTTCTTTTTAATAAGATTATAGGTTTGTTTTAAAGTAGCACAACACATAGTAAGTAGAACAACACACAAAAGCAATTAAAAGTAATAAAACAGAAACTTCAGTCAATTACGTTTCAAAATACGTCATCTTCTAGTGTACTAGCTTAAAACCATTAACCATTAAAATGTCAATAAGATCAAAAGTGTATTTACTGAAAGCCTAAATGATATTGAAATGGGCACAAGGCAAGTCCTACGACCAGGAGCTTCAGACAGCGGTGCCAGTGGTGCCACATATCTAGGCTAGCAAAAGCAATAGGAAACATGCAAATAGCTACCTGATCTGGCGCCAGCGTTGTTTGCGTTCTGCCCTAAAGCAGCAGAAGAAGGGCGGCTGGATGAAGCAGCTTTTTTGTCTTGTACTTTAGAGCTTTCAGATGCTAAAACGAAACGAGAGAAAAAGAAATGCCTGTTAATTCCATCATTGCTGAGTCAAGCTACATTTGTTGTCATTTAGTCAACCTGCAATAGCCAGAGCCAGCACTACAACACATCTCCTGGGATCCATTAGTTTCCAACCTTCATTGTAAGGGAGAAGCATGGACACAGTGAGCTGCATCAACTGAAATGGCAGATTTGTATGGTTTCACAGGAAAGGTTTCCCTGCTAGAAAGTGAGGACTGGTTAGGAAAAACAACTGGTGGGGGTTTGTTACAGGCATATATGCATAAAAGGAAAAACAAATTCTCCCCTTGTTAATAGAAATCTTAATAATAATAATAATAATAATAATAATAATAATAATAATAATAATATGATATCTTTTTAAAAAGACCCAGAACAGACATGGTTGCCCATCCTTCTCTCTTAAAACAGCGTTTCTCAAACGTTGGTCCTCCAGGTGTTTTGGACTTCAACTCTCAGAAGCCCTAGAGAGTTAGGCTAACAATCAGGAATTCTGGGGGCTGAAGTCCAAAACTGGAAGGCCGAAGTTTGGGAAACACCATTAAAGTGAGAGATTGGGGGTTCTTGCCACCTGTCAGATATTTCTGGATTTTGTCTCAGGTTGCCTTTATCAACCTCTGCTCCCTGTATCCCTCCTTTTCTTCCTTCCCCAATCATGACATATGAACCTTATCCCTGTCAATCACCATAACCATGAATTGTCTTCCAAATAGTTAAATGTTGTTTATATATTAATCATCATCTTCAATACATATTTTCCCCCAAAATCTCTCTTGATCAGGGGTTTCCAACCTGGGGTGCCCTCACCCCCAGGAGGCGCAAGATGGCATTTCAGGGGGTGCAACAATGAGTGGTTTGTGTCTTTCAGTAACAAGTCATCACCCAGCTCCCAGTGTGGTTTAAGAAGTAATAGTAGGTGGTTGTGTTGCATAGATTGGGGAAAGGGGAAATTTTTACAATTTGCAATAGTTTACCATTTTTTTTCTGAATAAATTAGGATCTAATTGCTCCATTTAGATTGGAATGTTATCTACTGAGTTAAAAGCTTTTTTTTTTTTTTAAAAAAAGTTCAACTTGTTCACCTGCAGTATTGTATGTGGTGCAAATTGTGGTTTAAAAAATAGAAATTAGACTTCTTCATCTTCAAATGTGATACTAGTTTTGTAGGGTGTGTGAACATTAACCAAACATTTCCTAGGGGTGTGGGCATAGAAAGGTTGGGAACCACTGCTCTTAATCCAAAGCAGGTTTAAGTAAAGTATTATCTTAAATAATATAAGCAATAAGTGACTTCCAAGTACTCTCAAACATATATTCTTTTATATCCCCTCTTGTTACTCTTCATTTGTATATTAATTTTTCTGAAAGAGCTATGGACTATATCCTCTTGAAACATTTTTGTTTCAAGAGATTTTGAGAGAAAATATGTAGTAAATATCTATATAGAAATAAGGAATTATATTGTAAGGGTTTTTATGTATTTAACTTTATATGTAAGCCGCCTTGATGGCTAAGGCTAAAGGCAGGATATAAATAAATTATATTATTATTACTATTATTATTATTATTGGGATTACAAGTGTCATTTGGAACAATTTTTTTTTAAATTACCTTTATCAACTTCTGGTTACCCAAATTATGATAATGGTTAAAACAGACAGGTCAGATTAATATCTACACTCCATTTAAATATCTCAGGTCTTGGAGTTCCAGTATATGGGAATGGACAGACTCTGTTAGTACTAATTTAGTCTAGTATAAGTAATCATTGATATGTACATAAGCATACTGTATATTCCCAACAAGGAAAATCACAGGCATTGCCTTCTCTGGGTACTTCAGCTTAGGTATATTCCATAGCACTGTATGTAAGGCATCTTATATTAAGTCATATAGATATCATGTTGCATTCATCAGGACATTCATAGGGACTTTATCTCTCTATTCAGTTAACAATGGCAATAAATAATACATGTAGGAACATCAGCCTTCCAAACCAGTTAATAAGTAACATTATCCCCATATCATCTTGATCAGGTTCACCCTAATCACTGTCATTGGTGTTAGGCTCTGTATTCTATAATCTATAGATTTCTACCAGATTTTACGCCCCTATTTAATTATAACCATTTTAATGATATATGTACAGGTTGAGGAGTAGCCAGCTAAAATTCATCTGGTCTGTAACCCTCCGTATCAGCTGCCTATGGCTCACTCTAATGGTAGTGCTAGCTCTGTCAGAAACAATGGAACAATACTGTTGTCTTGGGTCCTGCATTTCGAGCAACTAAATAAATAAATAAATAAATATGCTCTAATGAAGAAGGGACCTTTGTTTCTCAAGATGCTTTTGACTTCAGGTCCCAGAAGCTCCAGATAGCATGATTAGTTATAAAAGATTATGGAAGTTGTAGCCCAAAACATCTGGAAGGCTAAAACTTCCACCATTCCTGTTTTTTAAAAAAGGATTCATCATGGAAAGAAAAGTTCAGGGTACTATAAATATGAAGTTGACATGGGGGAATGTGCCAATTCTTCTGATGATGCCTTTCAGTCCACTTATTAAACAATGAAATAGGTAATTTTGTCTCAGATGAAGGCCTACCAGCAGAAACTCTATATAACTTTGAACTGTACCCATACTTCCAGTTTAGAACTGAAGCAAAGAACACCACAGAAACCTGCCATCCTGACACACTTATTTTCCAGCACATGCACTTGGTGCTTGTTTTATATTGAACCAGTATATGGCTCCCTATCTATACAATCCCAGCTGTAAGTCCTCATTCATACACGTACAGGAAAAGTGAAGACCTTGGTATATATAAGTTGCTCCATAAAGGAGAAAGTGTTTTAACTGTCATGGCTGCAAAAATGGTCTTGAAAGTGTATAGGCTCTCTGAAGATGTTTTGGACTATGACTCCCAACATCTCCATTAGCACAGGCCAGTCAGGGAAGATCAAGGATTGGTCCAAAACATTGGGATGGCACCAGATTGGGGAATGTTGGTGTAAACAATGTTGAATGCAGTTTCTGAAAGTATAATCTGACAGAAAAGGAGGTTACACAGGCTGTCCACTGCTGAAGGGTCCAATGTTTTTTGTAGTTTCCTGATGTTTCCAGGGCAATCAGAAGAAGGGAAAATTACAATCTGGAGACCCTTATTGGATTTATGTTAGGAATCATGGCTTGTTTTTGGGAATGTTATAACTAATGATTCCTTTAAAAATGGAACTATTTTACTGCTTATCTATAAACCACATTCACAAGGCGTAGTCCTGAAAGGCAACCTATAGATCAGGGATGGGGAACCCAGTAGATTCCCAGATGATAGAATACAAGTCACATCATTCCTATCCACTGTTCATGGTGGTCAGGCTGATGGGTTGGAATCCAACCCATGGAGGATCATCAGGCTCCTTTTCTCTGCTATATCACTCTGTATAAATAACTACAATAAAAAGACAAACTAAAAAAGCAGGCATATATGAGCCTCTCCAAGTTTTAAGATGTTTGGGGCAACGTCCTCTCTTATTCCCACTATCATTACAGGCACCCTTGGTGAAGACGCAGAAGACAGTCTTCTTGGTACCTGGTCCCAGGCTGTAGAATGCCTTGGGAGGAAAACTGGATATTAACTAAGTAATTTGCACAATGAATACTAGGCACAGAGTTGCTGTATCTGTGATACAGAGTCTGAGTTACTGTGGACCAGAATTCTGACATTTTGGGTGGGATGAGGAGACAGTGGCAAGCAAAAACTATTTCTGGTTCTGTGTTCACAAATAGCCTTGAAATGGTCCTTGTTTCCTAAGAACTCATGGTTACTTTTTACACCAGATGGTCCACTGCTAGAACAGAAGCAGTTTGACTCAGAAACTTCACTTCATGTACTGCACCGCATTACACCACATCCCTGCTCCTTAGGGATTTAATATCATACTGGTAAATCCACTGGGTGGGTATTTGGAAGAAGGTTTTACTAGCCTGGGAAGTCAAAGGTTAATCACTTACTTAAAATTGGCAGAAACTACTAACGTTCATAGCATTTCAAGGACTAAATGCTAAGCTCCTGTATTTGTATGTAATCCAAAAACTAGAACCTCAACTGAAGGTCAAACAAGTCAACATGCAAAGGATTTCTGGCAGGCAGAAGACTGGAAAAATGCTCTTAGAAAAGTAAGATGTTTTAAAAACAATTAATGGGCATAAACTTTTTTTTTTATTAGAAATGATCAAACATTTAAATTTTTTATCTGTTGAACTTTATTTAAGTGTTTATTTATTTATTTTTATTTGCCAGCTAATTTCTACAATTCCTGATGATTTCCCTACAATATGCAGTCATAGGGGAGTGTTGGGTATGTTCTGGATGTATACTCTCATGCATCCAAGATTAATGTAACACCTAGATAGTTCTGGTCAGAACTCTCAAATAATTGAACTTATGCTCAAAAC